TATCCACTCACCAGAAATAATGAGAGAGAGAGAGAGAGAGACTGGGGGATTTACATGCAAGAGCTGGAGGAACTAGGTCAGCGATTCCGTCACTCATTTCTCTAACCAAATGAACCCAGTGAAATCACCATTTTCAAAGCATCTGCAAATTTTTTCCCCTTTCCTGAGGTGGAGTCCAGCCACCTCATCATGGCCAAGAGCAGCAGCCCAGGCAGTGAACAAACCTCACATGACGCCACAGAAAAAACCCCAGCACAAGAAGCCAAGCCAAGCTGGAGGCTCAAATCCAGCTAATACATTTCACAGGATCATCTTTAAACACTAACAACGTTCTGATAATGTTCTCTGATTCCCCACAGCTCTGTACCTGGGTAGGTAAAGAGCCATACCTCCTGCGTACATCACTTCTTCTTGATCCAGCAGGTATGTGTGTGAGTGTGTGTGTGTAGGGCTGGGGGTTATGTTCCTCTGCTCTGTAGCAGTGTAGGAGTGCATGAATAATTCACTCCGCCTCCTCCCGGCCTTGCTCTCCAGCTCCGCAGATGAGAGCTGTGGCAGGGAGGCCATTGTCAGAGGTTGAAGGGGGCTCTCTCGGAACACAGTGAGCACCTCTCTCCACCACCGTCCCCCCCCCCCCAATGCCAAACCCCCAACCCCTCAACCACGTCTACGCAAGGTCTTTATCAAGGGGCGAACGATGAGGTGACGCTGAGCGCGCATGAACTCGATGCACCGCTTGCCTCATTGCCATGGCAACCAACCCACCCACCAACCCAACCAATCACCACACCCCCCCACCCCACCCACCTACCCAGCCACCCACTCTGTGCTCAGTGCAGACCCAATCAGTATGCTGTCTGCTTCCTTTTGTTTTCTCCATGGCTCATCTCTCTTGAGAGATCGCTGAGAATGTGTTCTGTCCCCAAGGGTGACAGCTGGATATACGCTCCGATGGACCCCACAGCAGGATGTGCCACAGATTGCGTACTGATGTGGTGGTTTTTACGTCAGCCTCACCAAAGCACTGAGCAGTTCTTGCCTTGTTGAAGGAACTCCTTGTAGAAGTTAAACCCAAGTCGTGAATAATTACCCCTTCACAATGTACTAATTCAACACTGCACTTCTCACACACGACACTGATTCCTCACAGTGGGCACACAATGGACCGATCCCACGCTACGCCAAGCTCCTACACATTGCGCTAAAATTGTTGTGCATATAGAGAAAGCTTCTGTTGTCACTTTAAACCAAGAATGTGGTCCATAAGTAATTTAATTCATCCAATATGTTCAATCCTGTTAGACAATTAGCATGAAAATGTTCAGTACAGAGCCTCTATCTGATGCGCAAATCTATGCTCACTGTATTCCAGGGAGAAGAGACTATACTTAGCTTTTAGAAAGGAAACAAAAGGCACCAGTGTGTAACTGTAACTTCCTGCTCTCAGTAAAACCTTATTCTAACCTCCCTTCCCCTGTGACCTTTAACATGCAGATGACCTTCGGCTTATGACCTGTGCACTCTCTCAGAGCATTTTTACCTTCCTGGGACGTAACGGCTTATTAATTTAGTGAACAGTAACCTGCAGCTCAGCTCTGTGTAAACTGGGGTGACAGACAGGAGACCTTCAGGAAGTGGCAGAAAACAAACTTAGACCAGGGGAAGGGGGGGAGAGAAGGTGGCGTCAGGGGGAACAGACAGAGACAGGAGCGAGCAGTTGATATAGGAGAAGAGGAAGACGTCGGGAGGGGCAGGAAGGAGAGCACAGGCACGGAAGTTCTGAACTCCTGAACTCTTTGTGGCATGTGAGCTGGAGAGACCTCACACGTCATGTCATAGGATCAAAACTGGGAACCAAAAATGAGCCATGTCCCCATACCGCACCCAGTCTGCCCTGAGAGGGCTGAGAAACAGACAATGACGGTGGGGACAGATTTGTGTTATCAGGGGGTCACCACAGACAAAATGGCCAACAGTCTCTTCCTCCACAGTAGTAATGCTGACACCCCATTGAATCTGGTCTTTTAGCAGACAGTCTTATCTGTAGCTTATATGTTTATGCACTATCCATTTATTCAGATGGGCATTCACTGAATCAGTTTCAGTAAAGCACCATGTTTAAGGGTACAACAGCAGTGCCTTACCTGAGAATTGAACATACAACTTTTTAAGTTTTAGTTTTAAAATACTCACTAAGTATATCTACTAAGCTGAAAATACTCAGCTGTGCCTGCTTGGAGTGGTATGGCATGGATCAACAGTCCAGTCCATCAGGGAAATGGTTTTCCTCTTTTTCCCTCCCAAATAACATCTCCATGATGACTTTACAAGCTGAAGTGAGTCAGAATAAGCCTAGATGACAAAACTGCTTTAATGTCAAACACCTGCCATGAGGACAGCACCTCAAAAGCTACACACAACTCCTTGTTCCCCCTCTGACGCGTAACGGGTGGTCAGATGTGCAGACAAATAGTCGGTCTTCCCCCTGGCAACAGCCAGCCTATCAGGTCACAGCTGGGGGGTCAAAGGACACGACCCTACCGTCCCCTTTGATCTAGTCAATAACAATAACATCCCTCACTGTGTTTCGGAGAGCAGGCTTCAATCCATTTCCTACCCCAACTGATTTCCCTCCACCTCAAAGGAGCTTGGTTCCCTTTGAAGCCCAGCGACTCTTGTTGCTTGAATTATAAATCTATTCATGAACAACAGTGCGTATTCAGGCTCAATTCGCACTCAGCGCATTTAATGAGCATGAGAGCAGAACTCGAGCCAACCCGTAACACAAAAAGGACTCTCTAGTTCTCCTTTATCAGATGGTGCAAACACTTGGTATCTCCACGTGGTACGAAGCTCCCTGCACTCCCGAGCGCGCGTTTTCCCTCTGCCTGAACTGTTGAGCAAAATGACTCCTGCTGATGCCCATTGGGAATGTTTGGGTTTTGGCAGTTGTCATCAGACAAGATTCCATGATGGAACAAGCCGAGGTCTTTGCCTGGCCCGCTAAGGGACCAATCCAGGCAAGTGTCTCGTTACAGCGACCCCGCAGACGAGTACTCCAGAAGGAGCCCTGGTTCTGCATCCATCCCATGGGCCACAGCAACAACATAACGCACGGCACCTCGATTACTCAGCCACCGAGGAGACAGGAAAAACACGCAGCACGGGCTCCAACAAGCCAGCGACAAACAGCTGGAGCTGAGCATCTCTCTCTGCTCTGTCCCTGTGAGTGCTCCCTTTCAAACTCCACTGTTACCCTACACAGCAGGCCTGACCCTCTATCCCTAAGACCCCCACCCCCCTCCACCCTTGCTGGTCCCCACTCACCTGTTGGGTCTGCCACCTCCTCGATGACCGGAGGCAGACGCAAGCCGTCCATGGTGGTGCTGGAGGGGTTTAGTGCGGTGTAACACAGGAGTATGGGGGACAGGGCTTAGGCTGGGCCAGGCAGGCGGTGGTAGTGCTGGTGCTGGTGGTGATGGTAGGGCAGAGGTGGGTCACAACCGCCCGGGGGGACCCTCTAAGATCCGGACGCGCTTGGCTGCAGCTGCAGCTGCGACTTCATCCTGGACACGGGAGAAGAGACGCACGGAATGAGAGGCGCTGCAGAGAGACGCGCTACGATGGTGCTGCTCTCTCTCTATCGCTCTCTATCTCTGTTCTGTTACAACGTGGTCCTCTCAGTTCATTTTCTGTTTACTCCCTCTCTCTCTCTCTCTCTCTCACACACTCTACTTCCCTCCCACAGATGTATTACCTCTCTCTATTTCTCACTCCCTCACAGATGTTACATCTCTCTCACTTGCCTGCGCTCTTGGTCTTGCTAGCTCTGTTACTGGAGTCTGCTGTTTTCCCGTCTGTGTTTTCATCCGTTCAGGCACTGTTTTTGCTCCTCTCTCTCTCTCTCTCTCTCTCTCCCTCTCACTCTCTCTCTTTCTCACTCTCTCTCTCTCTCTCTCTCTCTCTCTCTCTCGCTCTCTCAGTCTCTCTGTTTGTGCAAATGTGATGCTGCTCTTGGATCAGTCCTGGCTTCTCCACTCACTCACAAACCTAACCCTCATTCAGAAACTGCCTGAATCCACATCCTAAACACACACACAGCTCTTGCCCAAGGCTCAGCCCGTTTACCTTTAATAAGACACAGTTCTTGCAACTTGAGAATCTGACGGCTAATGCTTCTGCAACTCCCTGCTCATTTCCTCTCTCATCTCTATAGTGTATCCTCATTCCCCTCCCCTCTTTCTCTCTCCCTCCCTCTCTCTCTCACTCTTCCTTTCTATCCCCTTTCCCTTCACAGTGTGTTAACTCTTTAGCCCTTGCTAACGTGAGCTCTCATGCTAAAGGCTCTAAGCATTTGGTGAATTGAATCTCCCACCCTCCTACTCCGGAATTCTATACAGTGTTATGTTTTAACCGCTTGGTGGCCAGGTCCTGCACCGCAAGTGGTATAACTGTGCTACAACCCTGAAATATATTGCAGTGCATGTGCGTGTGTGTTTGAGTGTAGGAGTGAGAGAGAAAGAGAGAGAGCAACAGAGCTTGAGAATGTGTCACAAATAATAAGAGGGCAGGACTTAACCCTTTGCTGTCCTGTCCTGCGAACACTGCATTGTGAGAAAGAATGGCAGTGCTTCACTAAGAAACGCAGTTGGGATGTGTTGGTCTGTGCAATGCTCCATAATCCTGAGATGTCATTAAGAGGGGAAAGGGTTACGAAGGCTCAAAGAGAGAACGCAATGGCTGGGGTTTACAGGCTCTCAAGTCTGTATGATAAATGGAAAACACAGCTGTCTTGGAACTGTCCCCGGTAAAAGAGTCTCATCGCAGAGCTCTTTGAGAATATGCGGGTCAGACTTTGTGACTTTTATAAAACCTTTTAATACACAAAGAGTAGGGGAAATATAAATGACGAGGAATAAAAAAGCTAGATCATGGACCTGGATGGTGAAGTCACTGCTTTCATTTCTCTTTGCAAACAAGTAAATGTCTAATCAGTAGTTGACGAGGTGGCCGAGTGGTCAAGGCGATTGGACTGCTAATCTATTGTGCTCTGCACGCATGGGTTCGAATCCCATCCTTGTCAGGCAAGTTTTATGAAACAGAAAAATACATGATGAGATGGTCACCTGTACCCAGTGCACCAAATGCAGTGCAATCCAGTTAAAAATGAAGCTGTGAACAGTGATGTGAATCTGTCTCTTATTGGTCCACAAAAAATAAATGAATGCAGCCCAAGATAGGACAAAATAACATGTTGCTATAGGAATTAAAAGATTGAGTATATACCTTAATGATGTAATTGAGGCGATGGACTGCTAATTCATTGTGCTCTGCACGCGTGGGTTCGAATCCCATCCTCATCGAGGCATGGATATTTTAAAGAATGTGAAAATCAGTACAAGTCAGCTGACTGAACAAGAATGCAAAGCCAAATGCAAATTTAATACTGGGCCTTAATGCAATCTTGTTGTGTATTGTTTATCCTTCAGCTGCGTTCCCTGGGTGTTTTGCAAGGCACTGAGATAAAAAAGTTGCATGTCCTGGTACTTCACTGTCAAAACCTTCATTATTTAATCCTGGATGTTGTGCTGGAAGGGAAGTCAACTGACAGAATGACTCTGTGGATCAGCCAGTAGAGCTCAGAGTGAAAAGATGTGGCGACCGGTGCCATATCGTTTGGGAAAACTTGTGCTTGTTTTCTCATCTCTCAAAATGACAATGGACATAGAGAAGATTGGATGGGCCTGTGACACCCCAAATCGGGGGGGAAATTGGAGGAAAACTATGGGGGGAGTAGCTAGCATTCCTCCCCTCTGCACTTTGCCACCTGTTTTGGATGAGAGAGGCATTGCTATGGTTACCAGAGAGGGACTGCCAGCGGTGTCACCCATCAGAGAAATGTCAGTGTGACATCCGCCGATCGGATCAGAGAAAGAGAGAGTGAGAGTGAGAGAGAGAAAGAGAAAGAGAGAGGCACTTTACATTACATTGTAAAAATAGCATTAAAAAGTTTGAAATAGCCCTCGCTCTGCCCAAAGAAATGAAGGATACAGTAAACAATTAGTAGCCTCACTGGAAGTAGGACCCACAGCTCCACCGTATGTAAAGTGTAGGTACAATGCCGAAGCCTGAGGGACAGTGAACAGTCAAATGTGGCATCACTATTACAGAGACTGGTTACTTTTTTTGTGGATATTATCATTGTTATTGCAACTGCTTCATTTCAACTCTTAACATCCATCAGTATCATGTTATTATTGTTTTTGTCGATTGTGTCATTTTTGTCTGCTTTCGGAATACAATACCATATAAAAATGGTATAACTTCATCAGTGTGACAAGAATGATAAACTGAGAGAGAAAGTGTGTGAGAAAATTGAGTTTTAAAACTTTTGTTCGTTAAATGAAGAAGCAGAAAACTATACACTCTACACTGCAAAATGCAAAGGAAAAATATTTCAATCAAATATTAAAACTCAAGAAAGCTCCCCTGGGGGACAGGCAGCATCACCAGTGCGCCGTATTCATCCTCCATATCGGAGTATATGTCTGAGGGCACCCGAGCAAAAAAAGGAAAGACAGAGACAGACAGACAGAGTCTCCTTACAGTCAGCTCAAAGCTGAGCATGGTGTTGCTGCTATTGCTTTTGTTTCTGTTATAACGCCCATCGCAGCACTGTGTTAGCTCATTGGTTACCACTTTGGTCTCCAGGTTAAAGTCACCCAGGTTCAGTCCCTACCATTGTCAGGCCCACCTCCATGTTGAATCTGTTAGGCTCCTTATGCCCACGTGAGCTTTTCTCCCTCTATCATCTCACAGTCCAAAGCTGTCGGTGTGGTCTACTTGCCAGTTAAGTGAGTGTTTGTTTGTCTGTGTAGCCTTGTGATGGTCTGGTTACCTGTCTGAGGTCTAAGGTGACTCCACAGATCATTTAGCTTTGATTGACAGATTGACTGTGGAAACCATCCAATGGTGAGCTCTCCTGTATGCATGTAATATGCTCAAAAACCTGGGTTTAGGCCATCGGTGATACTAGATGTTGACAAACAAACTTTGGATTTAAACAAAAAAATCCAATTGGATGGTCCATGGTTGGCTTCTAATTCTTAGTCTGGTATTTTCTTGTAAATGAAAAATCCCTGCATTCACTCTACCTTGTGTCCTGGAGACCATTTAATAGTAAAAGCACACACAGAATCACGCAGTGAAAGCTGGCCACAGCCCAGTGTGTGATCACTGATTTTAGCATACACATTAACAAACAGTACACACAAAATTCTTACGGTATAATTAGTTCACACACACATACATACACATCCAAGTGTGTGTAAACCTTTAGGGTGGAAGAGGGCTGTGAATATCCCCCACACTCTCCTTTGAGTACTGCTGTAGGCTTTGATATCATACACCATCAACAGCATATTAAGCAGGGATTACTAGAGCACCCACGACCCTCTTCAAACCAGAACAAGTTCTGATTGCGCATATGTCTAATCTATTGCATGATAGTATGAATCTGTCAGTATATCACATTATAACCTAGAGCGTGATACATTTCCACCTCTTATGCTCATACATGTCCGTGATTTAAATAACATACTAAGCCTAAACTAATATCGTGAGTCCCACCATCCATGATGAGTCATCGTTCAACCTTTGGGCTTATTTAAAACGAAGCAACATTTTACTTCAAGCATCACGCTGTCTTGCAGTTGCTAGGCAACTGAAAGGCAATCAGAGTGCATCTGAATAAGGGCAGTGACAAGTGACGAGTCTGTCTTTTTGGTCTGGCCATAATCCACACTCCAAAAAATACTGCTAAGTCCAGCAGAGACACCATTTGGTGCTTTTGGCCTCCGTCGCACTAAATGTGCTTTTAACGTCACGGCTCAAACGCTTGGCATTGGCTAAGTTTTCTGAGCATGACAGAACAGTGAGGGATCGCTGACGCAGCTAACATGAATAGAATGGTCCACGTGCTGTCGATGCATATGTGCATTCCTGATCCTTTGACATGCATTAAATCCTGAGCGGTACTCCAAAAAGTCAAGGTGCAACCCCACATCCTATGATACGGGGATCTGCTAATAGTGTCAAACTTTAAATGATAATTTCTCATATATCTGTACCCTCTTCACTGAGTGAATTTATGAAAGTACCCATGTGATTTTTTCAGAATCTACCAAAGTTGCTGCTATAAACAAAATCTAGGCTTCATATGTGGTCAACTGCATTAAGCCTGTGCAGACAACCAATTAAACCCCAGCTGAGTTTGCGATTGTGCCATTACAGCTGCAACGGTAATTGCATTCAGAGTAAGAACAGGGCTTCTAAGCTCTCTGCACTTTGCTTAAAGTCAGCTCTCTCCAAAGTTTCACAATCTGAGAATGAGAGGAGCGGGAGGACCTGCCCTCTGGAAGACATTTCTCCACCTCTTCAGTCAAAGCTATTGGGATGCACACAGACCATTACGTTTTCTTTCTGTATGGCCAACACCAATAACAGTTTCATCCACAAAGTTTTGTCCCTGTGGGCAGGGTGGACAGAGAAAACATGCTGGCAGCTTAGTCACAGATACAAAGTTTAGCCTGTCAAGCAGAAAGTTAAGTTTTCTACACATCTGAGAGAGAACGTCAGCCATATCAGTGGGTGTTTTCCCAGCTTGCTCCTTGGGGACTGTCAAGTCTTGCATTATACTCAAGAGCAGAATTAATTCCTGTATGTGCATGCAGATATTTTCGGCACCCAAATTAACAGGAATGAGGACTCTGAAAAGTTTTATACACACTGGCCTTTGTAAAGTAACTTTCTGGTGCCTGTACTGTAAGCCCCCAGCACCACCAAATCACAGGCAGTCTGGGAAATTTCATGGATATTTGGGGCCCAGTCTGGCTGCTGTAATGCTACGTCCCTAGGGTACTAATTCCTGAGTCTCTGCGGCCAATCAGAAACCGCTTCCCACTGAGCCCCTGTTCCTCCCACTATGTACCCAAATTATATCCCTATCATTCTGACCTCCTAACTGAGGCTCTGGAACAAGAAGTGCCCGAGGAACCAGATTTCATCATGTACACTGTCACACTGTCACAGTTACAGAGCCTGCTTAGCATATGGGGGATCCATCATTATTGGAGGGGAACGCCACATTCAGGTCAGCTATTCTCTGCTCAGGAGAGGAGACAACCTGATAAGTGCCTGAAATGAGAGAAAGGAACTACCTACACAGTGCTTGTCTGCAGCTGGAGGAAATTGTATTTGAGAAGGAAGTTCCTGATACAGTACCAGTCAACAGTGGGAGGAAATGACATCAGAGGAGGGCACTAACCCTACTACACCACAGACCCCAAAGGCAGACACTCCCTGAGGAGAAACTTCACTTCATCCTTCTCCATCTCACATGGACCTGCTCTCACCCACTCATTTAGTATGAATCCAACAAAATCCTGCAGGAGGAGAAATGCCCTAGTCTACATTACAATGTGTTCCACTTACATAACCATTCTCGTAAGACTGTAGTCAAGGGTTTTGAGCAGAAATAGCAACAATGGTGCAAAATAGACAGGGTAGATTCTGCTCCAAAACAGATGGGTTTTGTTTTTTTTTTTTTTTTTTTCAAAAGAATCAATTAATATTGGGATTTGGGAGTGCTTTATCCTGTTCTTATGTGAGAGATCATCTTTCAGGTCTTTACTATGGAACGTTCAGAGCAGAGACAGATGTACTGTTGCCTGGATACCATCAACAGGAAGTGGGAGGGGTCCTTAACTCATCCAATCACAGCTGGAGCTGGAGAGGGTCCAGAATCCACGAGGGAGCAGAGTGAGGTCATCGCTCTCCCACACACACACATATATACACACACACACATAAACACTTGTCAGATTTATATGAAATACACACATATTTCAGAATTATGTATTTTGTATGCACACTCAGGCACATACAGAATTAGGGAGAGGAAATTGGTTAAGATACAATTGCTCAGGCCTTTTTCTCAGGAAAACTTTCACACACACACACACACGCTTTAATTCTCTCATGGCGCTCAACGCACATTCTTGTCATTCTCAGCTTCACAGAATTAAGTCCCATAATTCCAGCCTGCGGGCAGCTGACCCAAACAGGCTTCTCAATTGGTTCCACACATCACTCATCTCACAAGACTGGTGTGTTTACAGTTTTCTCACTTTGAACAAACAGTTATCAAAGCATCTCCATGGAAGCGGCTCCCGTGCTCTCAGGCTCAAAGATTAGATCGGGTGCCAGGGAACACAAAAAGCTCTGCCTGTTCCCAGTGAAAGACTACTTTTTGCTTCCAATCTGGGACTGGTTTCTGGCTCCAGTAAAAACTGGTTTCTGCTAGCT